CTGCCTCATAAATGGTGGCATTTACTGTTACCTCCTTGTCCACTTTTGCCCTGTTCTTCTCTGCCAAAGTATGACCTCTCATCTTTGAGAGCAGATGTGGGCAGCAGATGCTCTAGAGTAACTGGTTTCAAAATATAACTCTCAAAATGTTAAAAACAACTCACATCAATCCAGGTGAGGGTGCATCGAAGAAATTTTATTTAACTCATTAATGAAGTAACCAGTAGGATACAAAAGAGGTGCAGATATATATGTGCTGTGAAATAAAAGAATGGTAGAGCAAGTTTGCTAAGTTAGGTACAAAAAGACTCCACTCAGGTTATATGGTTCATATTCTCCAGGACAATAAGACCATAAGCTCCAAGGTTCTCTACTCTACTGTGTGGAAATCATTAGTATTGTAGAGTTTCTGAACCTAAATTAGTAGTAAATAGTAAGAAAGTTACATTCCCCTGGAGTCAGAGGATCCTTATCTTTCGGCTTGTTAGACAGTGCCATGGTTGGACCTGAACACCACACGAGGTTGTCTTTGCCTTATTTCCAAGTATTGGGTGAGGAGACTGTGGCTCATAGTCTCATGATAACTCTGTGTACAATAATTATTTTCGTAGGTGAAGATCCCAGATCTGTTTTGTGGCCTAGAGATTGTCCCTGCCCTTCTTCATGGGGATCTCTGGTCGGGAAATGTGGCTGAGGATGACACAGGGCCCATTATTTATGACCCGGCTTCCTTCTATGGCCATTCTGAGTTTGAACTGGCAATTGCTTTGATGTTCGGGGGGTTTCCCAGATCCTTCTTCACTGCCTACCACCAGAAGATCCCCAAGGCTCCAGGGTTTGACAAGCGGCTGCTGCTCTACCAGCTCTTTAACTACCTAAACCACTGGAACCACTTTGGGCGGGAGTACAGGAGCCCATCTCTGGGCACCATGAGGAAGCTTCTCAAGTAGCAGCCAGCCCATGTCTTCTGCTTAGCAGATGATGAAGGCACCAACACCAGAGGTGGCTTCAGGGACAAATAAAGCCAATGGAGGTTTCAGGGATGGAACCACTGCGTGTCTTAGTTTCAGCCGCGTGTCCGTCCTCCATGCAGTCGGGCTAATTTACAGGGGCCCCAGAGCACTGAAAGGTCTCCCACAGACTCTATGCATCATGGTCTGGGGGGAATTTGTTTGTTTTTGTTTTTGGTGAGGAAGATTGACCCTGAGCTAACATCCATTGCCAATCCTCCTCTTTTGCTGAGGAAGATTGGCCCTGGGCTAACATCCGTACCCATCTTCCTCT